AGGAATAGGAATAGGAATAGGAATAGGAATGGAATGGAATGGAATGGAATGGACGAAACATACAAGGAATTTGACTTTGGTGTAAGGAGCTCTCAGTGTGTTTGCATAGCACCAAGAATAAGAAGAATAATATAAATAAATAAATAAATAAATAATAATAATATTAATAACATTATACTAAAAAACTATGCAATCAGAAGAGGAGAATTAGAGGAAAGATAGTACTGCGGTTAACTAACATATATTCATTTTAAAAAGGAGAAGCTATTATCTAACATATATTCACATTTACAGAGCATTATCAGTCATGTCTTAACAGTCATATCTTCATGCAATGTATGTCAATGTCATATTGCATTAATTAGGTGCTCAGCAGAGCAATGGCACGAGGAAAAAAACTGTTCCAGTGTCTAGATTGTTTTAACATATGGTGCTCTATAGCGCCGCCTGGAGGGGAGAAGTTGAAACAATTTATGTCCAGGATGAGAAGGATCTGCAGATATTTTCTCCGCCCTCCTTTTGACCCTCACAGTATACAGATCTTCTATAGAAGGCAGGCGGGTTGCAGTTATTCTTTCTGCAGACTTAACTGTCCGTTGGAGTCTGTATCTATCCTGTTTGGTTGCAGAGTCAAACCAAACAGTTATAGAGGAACAGATAACAGACTCAATGGTTCCTCTATAAAGCTCCTGAGGTAATTTAAACTTTCTAAGTTGATGCAGGAAGAACATCCTTTGTTGTGCCTTTTTGATGATGTTTCTGATGTTAAGCATCCATTTTAGGTCTTGAGAGATTATAGAACCCAAGAACCTGAAGGACTCTACTACTGATACTGGGCTGTTGAGTATAGTAAGGAGAGGGGAATTAGAAGAATTCTTCCTAAAATCCACACTCATCTCCACAGTTTTAAGTGTATTCAGTTTCAAGTTGTTATGACTGCACCACAAGACCAGTTGTTACACCTCCCGCCTGTATGCTGACTCATCACCATTTCGAGAACTTTAACAGAAGAGCCTTTTGAGGTGCAGTCATTGGTGTAGAGGGAAAAAAGCAATGGGGAGAGCACACATCCCTGAGGGTTGTCTGTACTGATTAACCGAGTACTGGATATAATTTTGCCTAACCTCAAATGATGTTTCCTGTCTGTTAGAAAGCTGATTATAATGTATATTTGTCAGAGAAATTATGTACAACAATATTCATTCATGGGAACACCTGTTTTGTTTTGTTTTTTGAAAAATGCATATTGCTATTTCTAAGATACTGTACCATATGTTATTTTGCTGTTGAGTAAGGCTGAACCTGTGAACCAGCTTGTTGCTTAAGATACATGTTTGAGTTACTTTCCTGCTTAAAGTTTTTCAAAATATTTAGGAAGAAAACCTAAGTGTCTAAGGTAACACTAAACTTTTTTAATGTTTGCCTAGGTGATAGAATTGATTGACAAAGAAGATATTGATATTTCTACCAAGCAAGTAGCAGAGATAGTATCACTGTTGCAGAAGGAAGAAAAACTAGAAGAAATAGAGAAGACAAAAGAAAATGCTGAGAAGGAAGCTGCAGAAGTGAAGAACTAGCCTTCAGAGTAGTTTGAAGGTTAAATCAAATAAGATACCATGTGTACCTTAGTCAGTGCTTAGTGGTTGTGAGATGAAGAACACTGGTAATTTTTCAGCTAATCAAAGGTAAAGTGTTTTTGGGCAGAGGGAGACATTTCTCTGATCAGAGACAAATTATCATTCCATGAAGAAGAAACTCTTCTGGCCTTCTAAGAAATCAGCCCATCTTCTGCAATCATGTTGATTCTTTGGTATGCTGTGGTGATTCAGTCTCTTTGTCTCCAGATTGTGATATAAATTAGAAATTTCTTTGCGGTGCACAAGGAGTCAGCTACTTTTTTTAAAATAATGCTACGTTTACTTGGCACGGACATGTGTTTTTCTTCTTGGAAAAGTGAAGATCTCTACAGCAAAATTTCCAGTACTGAAACCATTCAAAAATGTCTAATCCAGGTGAAGGTTGGTTTTTGAAAGTTCTGTAGTGGCTTTGGGTTAACACATGTAGAACTGCACTGCATATGTAAGTTAAAAAAAAAAATCTCATGTAATTTTTATTTTGGCTTTGCTGATTTTTCAGTACTAAAAAAAAAATAGAGAAAAAGATATTGCACCATTCAGCTGCCACTACACATATTTTAAAAAGTGTTTCCATCCTTCTATAATCCCACTGATCTTCCTCTCAGTTTATCCATTTATCCAGCTTCACTAATATAGAACCTGGACTCCTCAAGTTTGCAGACCAGGTGTCAGTTGGATGCAAGGCAAATTTGAAATTGTGAAAAAAAACACCTTTACCAAAACACTGCTTATACAATAGGTGTATCTAATTACAAGGTTTTTCACCTTGGATATGAAATGACTAATATAACAAACTGGAAGCTTCATGTAAAAGTTGCCTATATAATCAGGACAATTAAAGGCCTGCTGAAATTAATAAGTACCTTCCTTAGTTTGACTTTGCTTTTGATCTAGTTGTTCTAGAAGCATCTCCTGTCAGTGCTACTATGTAGTTTTACTAGGTATCAATGCAGATTTTCTTAATCAGTCCCTTAAAACATTAAGAGAGATTTGTGTTTTTCATAAGGGTAGAGGTGATTCTGAATCTGTTTCCCAGAAATAAATCATGTTGAAATTGGTGACAAGAGCCTGAACAACTGTTTTCAGTTATAATGCAAAGACCTGCTTGGATTTTATCATGGCTCAGAGAAAGTATTTGCATTGCCTTTTTTAATTGAGTCGTAATATGAAAACACCCTAGGTCTACTATGTATGGTTTCAGAATTAATAGAAATTTATTTTTAGATACCAGTTTGAAGGAATTAAAATTACGAAAGATGACAGTTCATAGATTTGTTGACCATTTCTATTTATGCTGCCTTCTTAGTTCTATTGACAGGCATGAGGCAAACTTAGCAAATATATTTTCACTTTCCTCCTTCAGATGTGATTTGCAATGATTTTATGGGAGCACCATGTTGCTACATTAGAAGTTCCTTTTTGGTGGCAATTAAGTACATTTAATTGCAACAAGTAAGTCTGCAGCTGAATTTGGATCAAAAGTGATATATAGCACCTTATATAGCAGCTTAAGAGGCCATGGAGGAGAATCCCATTTTCATGGCATACATAATGGACCATAATTTTTATTGCATGTGTTTTCCTGTGACAGGTTAGCAAAAGGGAAGCACAACTGTACTATCTATCCAAGTGCCTAATTCGGATTAAAGAAAACATTATTATGATAGCATAAGGAGTGGTTGAACATTCTGACAACTGCACTTTACGATTTGTCAGGTTGCAGTGGCTAGATGCGTGTTACAAAGTCCATTTGTCAAATGGATCTGTATACTTGCTGTTTCTGCATTGTTGCAGAGGATGTGGAAGACTTGAAAGCAGCATCTAGGCTAAAACACGTCTTGCCTGGGTGAGCCTGGGAGCAGCTACTGGAAGTACGTTGTGTGCATACGTGACTTCCGAAGGCATTAAAATGATTAAATCCATAATGTCCGTGATACTAAGATTTCTGTAGTCTAATGCTCATTTTGTGTGTATGTTCATCTCTGTTCTGAGTGAAGTCACTGTGATACCTTTCCGTTCCCCATCTCCTTTCCAACTCCATATTGTTACCATTTCCATTGTCGAAAACCTAGCTGGTAACGTAGCAAGGAATTGTAATAGGGAGCTCTCATTCTTGTACCCATGTATAGATCACTGTTGTGTTCACAGGGACAATTGAGCACCAGATCATGGAAGATCAGAGTTACCTCACTTACCCTTCTGCCATGACAGCGCTAGTATTCTACTTAATGTTTTGGGAAAGAGAAGAGAGGGGCTGTGTCTGGGAGGTGTGATTACATTAGTTGCTTACGAGCATGAACTTCAGAAAAAATGTGGGTTCCATTTATAATGGTCTTGAAGGAGAGGAATACTGTCAGGTCCCCTTCTGTCCTCATGTATGACGTTCAGTGCCATTACTAGTGATGTGATTTTCTTTCTTCAGACATGAATAAAGGAAGATAAATCGGCTTTTAAACATTGTCACATTGGTCCTAGAGCAGACTGCTACACGCAGTTGGCTTCTATTTTATCTTAGTTTCATTAGCTTTACCAGTATTTCTGAGCAAAGAACTTTTATAACTGATGGAGTATATCTTTTGACATTTTATGGGAGCAAGTGGTGATTCAGTGGCAGGCCCCTTGTTCTGCATATAGAAATTGCCAGATCTCCATTTAAGGCTGGAAAAAATTCAGTCTGCAGTCCTGGAGTGGCAATATCAAACTCTATTGACTGTCTTAGCTTAGATGAATCAACAGTCTGTCCCAATATAAAGCAGCTTCCTATCTTTGCTATATTATACATAAAGGGCAAAGTAGATAAGTGTAAGCTTTCTGTACTTATGGGTTGATAAATTGGTGTTAGGAAAGTACACGTGCTATTAGGCATAATTTGTACTTTGTACATATGTATAAAAATGCACACATACCTTTCTGATGGATAAGGATAAATATTAGTTGGATTTAAATGCAAAATTGTACAGGATTAGAGATGTGAAGCCCTAAAATGGGGAGGGAGGATGTGTTTTCAATAAATGTGAATCTTCAGTAATGGAAATAAAGCCTGAGAAGCAGTAACTGCTAATGAACTTCAGATGCAGAATATTAAACATTTGATATTTCATGTGGCAAACTGTATTTACAAGCCTTTTACCCCTTATGTCTGAAAATCATTGCTTTTATTTCTGCCCAGAATTCAGTGTTGTTTTGGTACAGTGTGGCTGATTTTGACTGCTTGCATCTCCAGAACAGGCAGAAGTGAAGATTTGTTCCTTGTTTTGATCTCAATTCATACTTGGGTTGACTGGCAACTGTAGTAACAGAGGATTGGACTAGAGCAGGAGAGATCAGCTGTCACTGTAAGATTATACTTATAGAACTATTGAATGTGGTGTATAGCAACTCTCATCATCTTTTCTAAACAAATTGTAAATATTTTGCCCCAGTTCAGCTATAATAAAGAATATACTGTTCCAGTGTTTCCCAACCTTAGCAACTTTAAGATGGGTGGACTTCAACTCCCAGGATTCCCCAGCCAGCATGCTCAATATCAAACTCTATTGACTGTCTTAGCTTAGATGAATCAACAGTCTGTCCCAATATAAAGCAGCTTCCTTTATATTTTCCTGGGAGTTGAAGTCCACCCATCTTAAAGTTACTAAGGTTGAGAAACACTGTACTATTCAGTCTAGATTAAAAAACGATCAAGATTCTCAAAGAATATTCTGTTGGCCATAATTTGGTTGTAGACTGCCGTGGAAATCGTATTGGTGGATATAACTTCCTTAAAATTTTCATATAACTGGTTGAATCTAGCAATTCAAAGCTTTTTGGAGCTCTCCAGAGTTCTCCAAGAAGTCCAAAGATTTGGGGGCTGCAGACTGATAGGATGGAAACATGCATCTTCCCTTCCTTTTCACGGGTTTCTTTATCTAAACTGTTGCCTTCCATCTTTTTTACCAGCCAAATGGGTGAACCCAATTCGCTGCAATTGGTGAGAGGAGGATGCTTACTGGCGGAGCTGGTTGGGGGCAGAGTTTTCTTCCTTTTTCCCAGTTTGAAAGCTTGGCTGTTAAGCTTCTTTTCAGACTTAACAATTTTCATGTGTTTCCTGTCTTAGAGTGGTGGGAAAATGTACTGAATTCTAGGAATTATGGGATAGAGTTTCAGGGCCATAGGACCTCAAAATTGGGGTTAGTGAAATGCAAGTGGCCCCCATGTTTAAAAATAGTAAAAAGATTTAGCCCCACTTCAATATTTTTTGAAGGGTAATGTATATTTAGAACATGTAAATGAGGCAAATCCCAAACACCCACCTCAAAGAATTAAAGAAAGAATGCTGGAGAAAAGCCCATCTTCTTTGCCAAGGGCAATGTTGTGGTGTGGAGGGTATTGGAAAGATTTGGGAGAGATAAAATGCAGTTACTTTTTTATTTAGTGAAGACATCAGAGAGAGAGGAAAAAACTCTTCTTTTGAGAGAGTCAGAAGAATTTTTTTTTTCTGGCTTTGTGAGGGGTAGCATGAACTTGCATGCTTGTAGCTCAGGATGGTTTAAGCACCCAAAGGTATTGTGTGTCATTCACTCAATTTTGGGGATTTTGTGTAATTGTCCTTAAGAGATTGGATGATGTTCTCAGCTTTGGTTATAACATTCTGCCTCTTCCTAATTTTGGTTCATTCTGGCCACACGTTCTCTTAACAGATACTCTTTAAGCAGAATTGTCCCTTGTGTATAACATCTGCCCATATAAGCCAGAGCATAATGAAGTGAACGTTTTTTAACAGCTTTCAACCCCATTTCTGGGAAAGAGAAACTCATTTCTGGAAGAAATTTGCATTTCATCTTATAGAATGTATAGGAACTTCTGTTTACTTGCTGTGATTTCTGAGTACTGATGAGAAACACTGACTTCCTTTCATGAAACGAACTGAGATTATGACCACTGTCATCAAGCTAAGTAACTTCATGTAATGAATGAAATGAATTCTGTATGCAAATGTAAAGTTATGATATTGTCAACAGATACATTCTGCTTGAATGTTTTGGGTGTATAAAGTTTAAATTAGGCCCATGTACACTCCACTTGATATTAGAAGGGAGAAACCCCACATTTCTTTATAAAGATTGGAAACGAATGCACATTGGCAAATCAGTAATTTTTTAACAGCTTAAGTGGCAATCTAAGATTGTAGATAATCTAGTAGCAAAGAAATGTCATGTTATTTCCTAGATTTTAACAACTAGCATGAGGCATACCATGTTTTTTTCTAGAAGGGAATTTGACTCTCTTTAGAAAAGAGATTTGAACCATCCGAAGTTATATAAGATCCAAGTTGAAATACATTTTAGTGTGTAATGCTAGTGGTGCTTTGTGTTTAATATGTATAAAACCCTTTTTATCTTTCTAAGCTTAAATTATTATATTAAACACATTATTAAAGAAAAATATACTATATTCCCTCTTTTACTGTGGATTATTTATGAATAAAATCTTATGATAAACTTGCCAATATTGATCATGTGAACTGAAAGACATTACTTCTTGATGTACAGCAAAATAAAAAATGATTGAAGCTTTTGCTGTTGGCATGCCTTTGACTTTACATTGTTGGTGCTGTTTTTCTCCTCTTTGAATTTGTTGCCACTTTAAACTGTTCACTTCTTACAATCTGAACAATTCATTGAAGTTTAACTGGCACAGGTGTGATAAAATTATTAGCAAGTGCAGAGTATTAGCTCAAAATTGGTGATCTTACTCAACAGATACCTTTTTCAGAATGTTTCTGTATATCCACAGTCAACATTGTCGCCAACCATTGTCTAAGTTTTTAATCCACGATTGGATGATTGTTACTCGTCCTTTGGGTGGCTTAGAAAA